TTTAGTCACATTTTTGAATTCCTTTTTTTTTTAAACCCACTACATTTTCCCCCTCTGGCTTTGACTAAGTTCCTAATTTGTACTTCACTTTTCTCAAATCTTCTCCAGGACAGGGCTTGCCGGTATACACAGATAAGTGGGTGCATGTTCAGTGGGTGGGATTATGGGAATCTAGGAGTGGTTCACTTTGGAAATTCTGCATCAGCTTTTTGAGGTAATTCTTGATAAGGCTCCTTCATGAATGTAATAGCATTTTTTCCTATTAAATCTGAGATTTGGGGGACCCAAAATATTTTGACAGAAGGCATCACAACAGGCAGCATTTTGATAGGAAGAATCAGAGCAGGAGATTCTGGAAATGCGACACACCATTTAGTAATCAAATTATTCCCTGGGCACAACTAACCAGAAATATATGGGGTGAGCCTATGGAGTGAGCGATTCCATTAAAATGAATGACACATAAAAACTAAGAAATGTTGCAGCAGATTGCTTTGATTTGAATTATAGCTTTGCCACTGTCTCACAGGTGAGAGATGTAAGCAAGTTTTATAGCGTCTATTTGTCTAAATTCCACACCTTTAAAATAGACATAAGAACAGTATCCCTCCAGTACGGTTGTTATGGGGGTTACAGAAGTGATATAAAGATAATAAACCCTGTGTAATTTTTATCCTGCTGGTTTGATCAGGAGATACATAAACAACACACTAAAATAGGTAATTTTAAGAGAACCTTATTTCAAGTTTTTCTTTGAAAAGCCTTTGCATCTAAAATAATAAGAGAAAGGTGCAGTCAATAAAACATTTTCTCAACGTTAAAAATATCAATCTTTTTTTTAATAAATGGAAATTCTCTCTTTTGGCATACCAAGTATTCATAACTGGGCAAATAACAATGCTACCTTTGGGCTTTTTTTATTATTATTTGCCAGAGACTGGTAAAGATATTTCACAATTCATCAGCTTTTAACTTTTCATAAAGGAGTTTATTTTCCTTTACATGTATTCATTTTTCCCTTACTAAATCTATATTTCTGTTGCTGTATGATTATTTATTTTTGTTGGAAAAGCACTACTATTTTATTCTAAAGTAGAATTACTGCCTATATGTTGTCAGAGTAAACCACATTTAATTATGATTTTTTTTAAAAGGGAGAGGTACTGATTATAAATTAACCTCAAAGAACAGTAAAAAGGGTTTATTGAATAATTCACAGAATTTTATATAAATCATGGGTGAATATTTCACAGAATGCTTTATATATAGTATAACAAAAGCTGAGGTTTAAAGATAACTAACTTCTTTGCTTTTTTATTATAAAATTGAGAATTATAAATCCTAGTTTACCTAATGATAATAACAAAACTAGTCATTTGTATGAGCTTCACACTAACCTTGTGTTTGCTCATCCATTGAAATTCAAGTGTTTCCTGAGAGGTGAGATATTTTCACAAAATGTTCTTAACACTTTAACACCATTAAAATTTAAGCATTGAACATAGTAAATAGAATAAAAAGCACTTCAGATCAGTTCTTACCATCAAGTCCACTAAATAGAGAAAAACATTTTTAAATAGTGCCTTTTTTTATTTCTTCTGTTACTGTTGATCTTTTCAATTTTGTGACTTAATTACAGTCATGTATGTTTAATTTTAAGGAAATAATGGGACCTTTTAATTTTTCTAAGTTCCCTGAGATAAGAATAAAGCCACAGTTACAGTCACATAAAAGCTAAAACAGAAAAAGTAAATATCTAGTTGATAGCATCAGTCAATGTGTTGATTTTTATTTTTTTGCAGACAATTTGAAAATCTCATATGTTCTAAACACATTCTTAGAGTTAGTTGTAGGTTGCATCAGTAACACATTTGTGATTAAATGAATCCTTTGCTGTTTCTAAGTGAGAACTGTGAGATGAGGTAGATGAGTGCCCAAGTGATGCCTGTGCAAATGCAAACACTTGTGTTAATCTCCACAGCACCTTTAACTGCCTGTGTAAGGACGAATTTCAAGGTAGGCACACGTGCTACCCAAGGGTTAATGATAACTGAGAGTTAATTTGAAGCATAAGTAACTCTATTTTTAGAAGACACAATTTATTATATAGGCACACAAATCAATTTTTTCCCAAAAGAACATTTGAATATCTAATATCTGCTTGGATTATTTTACTACGTCTTCACATCATAATAGGAATAGATGTATTCAGTGTGGTATGACTATTTTGCGTCTGTAAATGAATGTTTGTTTCTTAGAAGACTTCTAAACTATAAATCCAATACACTTATACTTAACCAATGAACTATTTATTTTCACACCACATTTCATTTTGTTACTATGGTAACTCTTTAAGTTACCCTTGACAAGATATATCACTTATTTTGATAAAGAGCTTATTATGTTTTGAAATATGTGTGATTTTTTGTTGTTTATTTTTGTTTGTTTGTTTGTGGGGTTTTTTTTACAGTAGAAAGAAACTAATAATAGGCAGACCTTTGTTTTCATAGATCAAAAAAAAAAAGGTAGTAGGACTCTCAATACTTTCCTAAGATGTGAGCAAATATGATAAAATTGCCAACATTACAAGCCAAAATGTCACCCAAATTCTAACTATCCAAAACTGTTCCTAATTCTACTTCTATGTTAATAATTGATTTATAAATAAAACCACATTCTTTTTAAGAAGTAATAGAGTAAAACTTGTTTTGAAAATCACGACTGTAATAGCATTTTTTCCTATTAAATCTGGAAAACTGGTTTTACATAGTTAACCTTAAGAGTGATCATCTTTGGAAAAAAATGTGGCCACTATAAAAACTGTTCTCTATTTATTATCATCACCAAAAACTCAGAGTGATTTTTAAAAATTGTATGACAGAGAGCAAAAACAAGGTCTTTTGGAGAGATCACTTTTGCTATATCCCCAACTACAAAAAATAAACACACAGTTTTAAATGTGCCTTTTTTCCCTTCACAAAGTTCATCCATAAGGAAAATTACCAAATAAATATTGTTAAGGTTTAAACAAAGTATTTATAGACTCATATTATTTTTTGTGTTCACTTTTTTCGTCAGTTTAACCTGGTGTTCTAATGTCATATTTTCTCTTAATATATCATTTTATTAATGACTAGAGGCCTGGTGCACAAAAATTTGTGCACTCGGGGGGTCCCTCAGCCCAGCCTGTGCCTTCTCGCAGTCTGGGACCCCTCGGGGGATGACCACCTGCTGGCTTAAGCCCACTCCATGGAGTATTGGGCCTAAGCTGGCAGTCAGACATCCCTCTGGCAGCCCGGGAGCCCTCAAGGGATGTCCACTTGCCAGTGGGAAGCAGGCCTAAGCTGCAGTCGGACATCCTTAGCACTGCTGAGGAGGCGGGAGAGGCTCCCACCACCACCACTGTACTGGCAGCCATCAGCCTGGCTTGTGGCTGAGCAGAGCTCCCCCTCAGGGAGTGCACTGACCACCAGGGGGCAGCTCCTGCATTGAGCATCTGTCCCCTGGTGGTCAGTGTATATCATAGTGACCAATCATTCCCAGTCATTCTGCTGTTAGGGTAAATTTGCATATTACCCTTTTATTATATAGGATAGAGGCCTGGTGCATGGGTGGGGGCCAGCTGGTTTGCCCTGAAGGGTGTCCCGGGTCAGGGTTGGGGTCCCGCTGGGGTGCCTGGCCAGCCTGGGTGAGGGGCTGATGGCTGTTTGCAGGCTGTCCATGGCCCCCAGCCACCCAAGCTCCCACTGGAGGCTGGCCGGAAGCAGGTATCTGGGATTTATTTATCTTCTATAATTGAAACTTTGTTGCCATGAGCGGAGGCCACAGCCGGCCAGGGCAGGCGGCAAACTTGGCTTTCTCCATCGCTGGGACAACCAAGCCGCCTGCTTGCTCCAGCTCCATGGCTGCCGGCTGCCATCTTGGTTGGGTTAATTTGCACATAGTCGCTCTGATTGGCTAGTGGGCATGGCTTGGGGTGTAGCAGAGGTGCGTTCAATTTGCATGTTTCTCTTTTATTAGATTAGATAATAGCAATAAAACTAGATTTTTCTATCTAGTTAGGTATCATTTTTCCTATTTAGATGTATATTACATTAATTTTCCCCAGCCCATATTCATTTAACTATTTTAGAGAAAAAAATTGAGATTATTAAGAAAATTTCCATTTATCTTGTTTGTAAGTATAATGTGTAAATTTGTCAATCATTGTTGAAAATTGACAAAAAATTAGCTGTCATAAGTCTTAAGAATTAATTCCATGTCAATTTAGGCTGCTTCCAGCACTTTGCAAATTAAGAAACAATACAAGTGATATGATATGAAAGGGTAGTTATGGCAACACAATTATAGGTGGAGCATTATGGAAGATCTGCATTGAGAACTAGTTAAAAGAAAACATTAAGACTATAGATAATGAACATTTCTGTTTTTCTTTCTTCCCATGTAGGCCTGTTTTGTGAAATTAATGGAAAGAAATTTGATTTATCCCCCAGCCTCCATAACACTACATCTACAGAGCTCATGGATAAATCCAAATGCATCTGTCTCTCTGGCTTTATTGGTAAGGAACTTTAGACATTTGTGCCTTGTAAAGATCACCTAGGGTTGGGGAATTACATCAGGAATTTATTGATTCAGTAGTATATCTTTTTTTGTTCCTTTTTAATTTCATTTAACCTCACATTTGAGATGCATCCCAATAACTGGAAACATCCTATTCCATCTCTAGACTCCAAAGTAGAAGATAAATTAGTTCACATCTGAGCAGACTTTGAATGCTTACCTGCTCAGATTAGCTTGTAGTATGTGCTTTCAAGAGAAGTTGCTACAGTTTTTAGTAAGGTGAAATAGATGGGTTCTGACACTAATGTATGTGGTGCTCTTATCTGGTGAGTTTAGTCTCAGATACCACCCCAAGTAGACTAAAAGATTTGGACAAATTTAAGAATTATAACCTGGTATCTTCTTGTCTTTTAAAACTGAGGTTATTTTTTTCAAAGGTACAAAATGTGAGATAGATGCAAATGAGTGTGCTTCCCATCCCTGCAAGAATGGAGCTACTTGCATTGACCAACCTGGGAATTGCTTCTGCCACTGTGTGGCTCCATTTAAAGGTAATGATCACCAAGGGAGAAGGACAAGCAAACATAATTAAAAAGCATATCTGTCTCTTGTCTGAACTCATTTCAGTCTTCCAACAACATTATTAGTCCTTCATTTTCTTAAAGTCAGCTCCTAAAGTGGCCAACCAATTATCCCTTACGGAGAGTTAAATGAGCTTTGTTTTTCCATCCACTATAATAATTTATCTGAGTTTTTACTTAAAAGGCCACCATTACAACCAAATGATACACTGAAAAGTAAGAAATGTATTAGCACCCTATCACTTTATATTTAAAATACCTTTTCTTATAATTTAATTTCTCATAAAATCAGTGAGGTTTCATTTGTTTTATAATAGAATCATCTATTTAATTTTTGGAAGTAGCTATATTTGGTTTAAAATATAGTTGCCATTAACATATACTTTTTATTGGGTTTCAACTTTGATCATACTTCTTTAGCTTAAGTTAAGAAATTATAATTTTAAAAAAATAAATAGATGGTTGCCTTGTAAAATGGATATTTGATAAATTACTCTGCAAACTAGTATATAAAAATCATTGAATACTTCTTTAAACTTTAGTACCATTTTCTAAGCCACAGATTTTTAAAACTGTATCAGTCATGGCTCTCCAGAGAAACAGGAGCAATGGGAAATATCTCTCTCTCTCTCTCTCTCTCTCTCTCTCTCTCTCTCTCTCTCTCTCTCTCTCTCTCTCGGAAATTGTGTCACACAATTACAGGGTGTTTGAAGTCCCACTCTGCCATCTGCAAGTTAAAAACCCAGGAAGGTTAGTGGTCTTTCCGTTCTGAGTCCAAAGGCCTAGGAACCAGGGGAAGCCAATGCTGTAAATCACAGTTGAAGGACAGAAGAAAACCAATGCAGCTCAAGTAAGCAGGCAAGAAAGGGCAAATCCTCCCTTCCTTCACTTTTTTTTTCTAGTCAGAGCCTCTCAAATTTGGCTGATGCCAAAAGATACTGGGAGAGCAAGCTACCTTACTGAGTTCACTGATTCAAATGCTAATCTCATCAGGAAACAATTTCACAGACACACACATACAAAAGGTTTAATCTGGGTACCCAGTGGTTTAGTGAACTTGACTTATACAATTAACCACCTTACTTTTCAATTAAATTTAATCAATATGGATATTTTTATTTTATTTATTTTTATATTTTTTAAACCTCACCAGAGGTTATTTTTTCCATTGACTTTCAAGAGAGAGTGGAAGGGAGAAAGTGGAGGGGGCGGTGAGAAACAGAGAGAGGCAGAGAGAGAAATATCTATGTGAGAGAGACACATCATAGGTTGACTCCCACATGTACTCCACCACTGCTGGGGGTCGAACCCACAACCTTTTGCTTCATGTGCTGATGCTCTAACCACTTATCAAAACTGGCCAGGTGAGATAATTTTAAAAGGTATACCTAATTTTCTTAGAAAGTGTCTTCTTATAATTATTAACAAAAATATAAGATTACATGTCTAATTTCAAATATTTTATATCTGTTTAATCTCATTAAATTATAGTTTTCTTGTCTGTTAAATGAAGTTGAGACTACACCTACTTCACTGAGTTGAATAGAGATTAAATGAGATATGTCATATAAATACCATTGTTGTTTTGATTTGCATCTCTCGGATGATTAGTGACTTTGAGCATGTTTTCATATGTCTCTTGGCTTTCTGAATGTCCTCTTTTGAAAGGTGTCTATTTAGATCCTTTGCCCATTTTTTGATTGGATTGTTTATCTTCTTTTTGTTAAGTTGTATGAGTTCCCTATAAATTTTGGAGATTAAGCCCTTATCAGATATGACGTTGGCAAATATGTTTTCCCAAGAGGTGGGTTTTCTTGTTGTTTTGTTGATGGTTTCTTTTGCTGTGCAGAAGCTTTTTATTTTGATGTAGTCCCATTTGTTCAGTTTCTCTTTAGTTTCAACTGCCCTAGGAGCTGTATCAGTGAAGAAATTGTTTTGGCATAAGTCTGAGATTTTGTTGCCTTTGTATTCTTCTAGAATTTTTATGGTTTCCTGTCATACATTTAAGTCCTTTATCCATTTTGAGTTTATTCTTGTGTATGGTGTAAGTTGGTGGTCTAGTTTCATTTTCTTGCATATATCTGTCCAATTTTCCCAACACCATTTATTGAAGAGACTATCTTGGCTCCATTGTATGTTCATGCCTCCTTTGTCAAAAATTAATTGAGCATATTGGTTCGGGCTAATTTCTGGACTCTCTATTCTATTCCACTGGTCTATATGTCTGTCACCTGTCAGAATGGCCATCATCAACAAATCAACAAACGACAAGTGCTGGAGAGGATGTGGAGAAAAAGGAACACTTGTGCACTGCTGGTGGGAATGCAGACTGGTGCAGCCACTGTGGAAGGCAGTATGGAGGTTCCTCAAAAAATTGGAAATGGAACTCCCATTTGACCCTGTGATCCCACTACTAGGAATATATCCCAAGAAACCAGAAACACCTATCAGAAAGGATATATGTAACCAGATGTTCGTAGCAGCACAATTCACCATAGCTAAGATCTGGAAACAGCCTAAGTGCCCATCAGTAGATGAATGGATTAGAAAACTGTGGTACATCTACACGATGGAATACTATGCTGCTGTTAAAAAGAAGGAACTCCTACCATTTGCAACATCATGGATGGAACTGGAGAGCATTATGCTAAGTGAAACAAGCCAGTCAATGAAGGAAAAATACCACATGATCTCACTCATTCATGGATAATAAAGACCATTACAAACTTTTGAACAATAATAGATACAGAGGCAGAGCTGCCTCAAACTGATTGCCAAACTGCAGTGGGAAGGCCAGAGAGAGTTGGGGGGCAGGAGGGAGGGGAGTAAGAGATCAACCGAAGGACTTGTATGCATGCATATAAGCATAACTAATGGACATAAGACACTCGGGGGTAAGGGAGGGTAGGGGTGTGTCAAGGGCGGGGGGGAAAAAAAAGGACACTTATGTAATACCCTTTGTAATACTTTAAGCGAAAAATAAAAAAATATTTAAAAAAAATAAATAAATAAAAATAAAAAATAAAAAAAATAAAAAAAAATAAATAAATAAATACCATTGTTTGCCAGAAATGAGAAATCATCAACTGTTTAATTGTAATTTTAAATAATTTTGTAACACATATATGTAAAATCCATACAATAGACAATATTATGTAATGATTGATTAGATAGGATGACAATGCATATTTAATTATACAATTGTAAAGATACGCACAGAATAGTCTAAATAATAATTATTATTTTAAAATTGTTTTATTTTTTACTTACTTTTTAATTAAATTTACTAAAGGCCTGGTGCACGAATTCGTGCACAGCTGGGGGGAGGGGCCACAGGCAGTTGGCCGAACAGCCCCACCCCTGATCTGGGTGGGGGTGCGTTCAGGGTCAGGGCCAGCTTGGAGGAGGGGCTGCAGGCAGTTGGCTGGCCGGCCCCGCCCTCTGGTCGAACTGGTTGAACTCCTGGTCAAACTCCCAGTGGAGGGGACAATTTGCATATTAGCCTTTTATTATATAGGATTGGGATGATATCGGTCAAAATGAACATATAGGTTTCAGGTGTAGGTGTATTTTTAAAAGATTTTTTTAAAATCTTTATATAATTACTTCTGTAGAGCTGAATAATGCAGTGTTTTTATGCATTGTAGTTTTTAGCATTATAATTACAGATATGTTACAAGATCTGTATATTTCACTGTGTGCCCACCACCCAAAATCAAATCTTCTCCTGTTACCATATATTAGGACTTCTTCTCCTCCCACCCCCTTTCCTCTGGTAACTATCACACTGCTGTTTGTGCTCATGAGTTTCAGTTTTATGACCCATGTATGAGTGAAATCACATGGTTCTTAGCTTTTTTTGACTGACTTATTTCACTTAGCATAATGTTTGCCTGATGCCCAGATCTTTTTTTTCCCCCACGCTATCCTCCAATAAAAGGAATCAGGTCTCCTTGGAGATTTAATTGATTCTAAGACAAGGACACCACATGTACAAATAAGTGTGGAGAATATTGTAATACCACAAATCAAGGAATTACTCAAAAAACAAAATCATGACTGCATGTCAAAGGGACACATGAGCAAACTGAAGGTACTCCTAATGACCAAAGCTAGAATAATTTGAGAAGAATATAAACTAGTATTTAATTATTATACAAAATAATCATCCATGAGTTCACACTGATAAATATAAATGATTGAATAAAAAATTAGGGAATAATAGATACACCTTATGTGCAGAATAATTTTAAATAATGTATGCAGATACTTTGCACTTAAGAGATGAAACATGACTCTCTACTCCTTAAATTTGGGCTACATATAGTGACTGCCTTTTTTAAACCACATTATGGAATCCAGGCCGGGTTGCTCAGTTGGAGCATCCTTCCATACACCTAAAGGTTGGAGGTTCAATTTCTGGTCAAGGCACATACCCAGATTGCAGGTTCAATCACTGGTTGGGGTGCATAAACGAGGCAACCAGTCAATGTTTCTCTCTCACATAGGTGTTTTTCTCTCTCTCTCAAAACATATCCCCAGGTGAGGAATATAAATAAAAAGTACATTACTGAAATGGGTATTGGGAAAAAGTAACTTTATGAGCTTATTTTTGGAAAATTTAAAATATGTATAATTACTTCTTACACATATGTGAATTTGTAAGATATAGTGCTTTGACTATTTTAAGGATATACCCTTGTTCAAACATTTTGTCCTTTGCAACAGTTATATTGCATTCCTAGTTATAATTTATTGAAACATACTGTAGAGAAAGAAATTTATCCAAAAAGCAGACTGTGATTTTATAGCCCATTTATGGGGACAATAGAAAAATCTTTATATAATTACTTCTGTAGAGCTGAATAATACAGTGTTTTTATGCACTGTAGTTTCTAGCATTATAATTACAGTTCTCCACAAATAGCATAACTTGTATACATAATTTTATTAATGCTATATGTCTTTTG